AGAATAGCTTTTTGGATGTAAGGCTATGTGAAATTCAGAAAAAACATGAAACCTACTCATATTAATTTGGAAAAATCAACTATTCCTCCTTTCTCACCCTTAACGAACTGTATGGAGTACAGTTTTTATATCATATTTACTGATAGTTTTGAAACCTACTTATTAACAGAAATGTTAGCCCATTTTCCCCTCGAAACGAGCCAGGATGTTTCGTGCACTGAGGGCAGTGGTAAAGCCAAACTCGAATCAGATGTCGACTTCAGGTAAGATCAGTCGACAACTCCCTTCTTTTACATTTTCACACAAAGTAAAATTCATCACACCAATGCTATCTCTAAGAGGTATATCAAAACCCAATTATTCCTTGCATAACAAACTCAACTGTCCATTTCTCAAACGCCGAGTTGCCGACGGCAGACATTCGAGCACATCATGTCAGAAATGTTGCTTTTTCTGTCGTGAGCATTTATCGCTAATGCTGGCTTCGGCCGAAAAAAGTTGTAGCATCTCATTTGTCTCGCCCATCGCCTTTTTTCCCTGTTTGTCGTTGTATCACAGACCCCTTTTGTGAATACACATTTACCCAGGGCCTATCCACCAGCAAGCACGGCCTAGCACACGTCCATGCACAGCAGATGACACTTCGTATGAGGAGCAGACAAGCGCACGCTGAGACCCCCGATTCCGGCACTCAAGAGCTGCAATTAAACCTCGGCCCTAAGGCCCTTCCGATCACGGCATCCGTTCCTTCTGTTGCCTGCCTCAGCGGCCGAACGCCATTGCTTCTGGAGGTAAAAAGAGGACGAGCAAAGTTATCACGAGACATGCGGGCGTCATAAATGGGGCAAAGCCGCGTCTCGAAGAGATGGCCTCATGCCAAATTGGCGAGCGCTAATTGCAATTAGTCTCCCTCATTCATTCACAATGCAACAATGTCACCTGCTTTCGGGTTGGAGACATGATATGTCAATGCTCACTGTAGCAATTGTTCGATTGAATAGGAAGTCGAGTCGGCCATCAAGAAGACACGAGCAAAAATGGCTTTACAATACGAAGAGAAGATGGATTTCCAAGAAGGCCATAGTGCAAGAGTTGTAGCTTACTGATGAGAATGGTAAGATTGTCTGATGCCGTTAGGACTTCTGGGCATGTATCAAGTCAACGGTCTGACTCTGGAAATTGTCATGCATACTATGGACTCCGGACAATTTGAGTTTCTCTAGGTCCTCCTGACCAAACCACCACATTGCGAAAACAAGGTCAAACAACTTCTATGAATAAACTTGGCTATCGTTTTTTTACTGGGTTTCATTTCATAAACTTGCTTACATTGAGGTATGAAAGGAAGATGGGTTTCGAAGAGTCCTTTAGTAGATTGAAACTGGGGTAACTTCCCGTTCGTTTGAGAAGGCCGGTGACAGGGATTTGTAAATTGGCCTCGCCAGATTCTAGAAGAAGTTGGCCTTGGACGAGTGACTGCTAGATTATTGAAGAAGACATCAGCCCACCCTCCTGTGGTCCCAATGACTCCGCGTTGAGTTTTTGTGCATCATGTCGCGGACATCGTCAATGCCAGAGACCAGTATTTGCGAAAAATCAACATAAACACTAAACCAATAAAAGTGGTTGGTTGAGATCCTATTTACTTCTTATACCTCACTTTGCGATCTTACTTAGACATACCATTACTTTTTTCGTAAGTGAGTAGGTTTTCAAGACTGCCAGTAAATCAGATATATTCCTTCTCGAAAGCCTACTACTCACTTACGAAAAAAGTAATACCATCGATTGGCATAGCAAATATAAGTTAGCTTCATCGACAATCCCAGCATAGAATGTGATATGGAAAATGCCTGGCCTTCCTTGAAATTCACATCTGCCCTCTGACCCAAGAGCAATCATGGCAATGCGGCGTAGTGGTTAACATGTCGAGATGACACGCTGCACTGTCATAGTTCGACTCCCGCTGGGAGTGCTAATGAGAACGGTTCAGGCGAGGTCGAAATTGTAATCCACTCCAGCCGGGATGGGAACAACTTTTTGGAAAGCAAGTTTTGAGCGTCAACTCTGCTCATATCATTGTGGGAAAATTCTTCTGCCAGTCCTTCATCACCTTAAACGAAATAGACTTAATACATCTCATAAAAATGTTTGTTAGTGCTGCTGGGTCAAACGGTTATAACTGGCTAAGCACGAGTAGTAAAGCGAACCGGTTAATTGGTTATGGGGCTTTTGTCATAAGACCCAAAATCAGCTAATCAAATTTTCTTTTTTAAGAAAAAGTCGGTTGGAAGGAATTCTGAAATGGTCTCATCGGAGGTCGATGGAGGATTGACTTAGATTGAAATGAGGGCTGTTGTATTGGCAATGAAGTCCTCGGCTGGCCGCTTTGCGACCCGGATCAACCTGTTCTAAGGGTACGTCTGTCATGTGACCGATATTATCAGAACGAGAAACCATAATTCAAGAAAAAGATCACCATTCCACTAAACCAGGGCAGTGAGTCGAGGGATTCTTTGCACAATTTAATACTCATCACTCCCTAAATACAATCCACTTTCGATTTCCGGTGAAACCGATTCATAAATTCCCTCCAACTAACTTTTTCTTCGAGTTGACACCAGTCCAACAAAGTTGACTTTGATCGGATCAAGTCATACGACAATCTGACAAGCAACTACTCTTTCCAAATCAGTAGCACGTAATCGATGTTATGAAATTCCACCTCCTTAAACTGATTTACAAAAGAGGTTGTTTGACCTTGTCTTCACAACTTGGTCATAATGACAGAAAGACATAAAGCTTTTCCGGAGTCCATAGTATGCATGATCATTTCCAGAGTCGGACAGTGGACTTGGTACATTCACAGACTTTTCGCCGGCATCGTAGTCTGCATCATCAGCGAGTCTTGTCAGTCTCAGCAACCGAGCTAGAACTCGTCAAAGAGTCAAGTGGAGTCAATCCCTTGATAAACTTTCTGCAGATTTGGTTTTGCTATCACTCCTCGTTCTATCCTCGTCCCCTATCCATTTCCTATCCTCCATTCTCGCCCTCGTGCTATCACAACTGCTGACATGTTTATAATCCACAAGAGCTGTGTCCTTTTGGCGAATGTACCGTGGCGTCATCCCACCTGCTGTTGGCCTTGCTCCCCTCATCTCTTTGACGAGCTGTACTATGGTGCTACTGACGATGCCGGCGAAATGTCTGAGAATGTACCATGATCACGGTCCGACTTTGGAAATGATGATGCATACAATGGACTCCGGACTGGGTGCGTTCCTCTAAGTCTTCCTACCAATACGACAGGAAATGATCATGCATACAATGGACTCCGGACTAGGTGCGTTCCTCTAAGTCTTCCTACCAATTTGACCATGTTGCAAACAAGGTCAAACAACTTCTATACAACGAAAGGAGACTGCGACCACACAAAAGGCCACACCATCTTGGTATTCATACCTTCATTATGAGCTATGTTCACCCTATTTGTTTAAGGTGACGAAGGAATGGCTGTTGAATTTTCCCACAATGCTATGTGAAGGTATGATATTTCCATTGATTTTCACATATACTTTCTTTCCCAGAAGGTGTTCTCATCCAGGGTGGAGGACACCTTCGACCTCGCCTAGGTCTTATCTACACTCTCAGCGAGACTCTAACCATGGCAGTGCAGTGTGTATTATTGACACGAGAATCATTATGACACATTCACGAGTGCCCTTGCGTCACAGGGCATATGTGAAGTTCAAGAGGGGCCTTACCTTATCACATTCTGTGGTGTGATTGTTGATGAAGTGAATTTTTATTTGCTATAGCAATCTATTGCATTACCTATTTTCCAGTTATAAGTAGGCCTTAGCGACTACCAGTAGATCATATATGAGATGTATTCATCCTACTTAGTTTAAGTTATTGGAGCTTCGTGGGTCTATCCCAGAGTTAAGAACATGTTCAGACAGATCCTATCTGGTTTATTGCAACATGACTTTACATTTCGAAGAAAAATTGGGCAAAATGGAAATCATGAAACCGTCTCACCGGAAGCCGAAGAAAGGTGCCGCGGAGTGAAGAGTGTTGAATCGCGCGAACAAAACCTCGACGACTCCGATTAATCTGTGCTAATCTTTTGTCTGTACTGTGACAGGCATCATCAAAGCAAGAATCCATGCTTTACAAATGGCGGATACAGGACATTCAATAGACTGTTAAGGTTAAGACGACTCCAAATAAAGGCATAAGAATAGATAAGCCTATAGAAATTAATAGAAAACAGCCAGCATCCCAAATAGGAGGAAAGTGTAAAGGGATTTAGTATGAACGCGGCTGCATAGGCTCAGGATGAGGTAAGGAGAGGGAGGACAGGAAGAACTATTGAGCAAGAGAAGGACTATCACACATCGTATGACATGAACAATACAAGCACACACTAGACAATAGCACATACCTAAACATGAGTGCACTAATTTATTTATGTTAGGAAACAACTGCTACCGAATTCACTTCCTTTTGTTGAATTGACTTCACTCATCTACAAGCATGTGAAGTAAGTTAGAGGTAACCAGCCCAATCATGGGATATCTCATTAACATCGCAAGGGTAGGCATATAAAAAGTGACTAGGGTTGCCTCTGACCACTTTTTCTCTTGGTTCAGTATATCTTTTGGGCTATTTAGTAAAGTTTGTATTCTGTGGAGCCAACAGTGGATGATTTTCAACATGGCCGTCGGAAAGTTGGAAGCAATTTGTGCTAAAAGGGTGATACAGCTCAGGGGCCAGACGAGTTGCGGCGCATGTCCGGTCGGTGAGGAAGGAAGCGGCCTAAGTTGGAGAGTACAGGTGTATCAAGGGTGGGATAGCATCCCCAAGGGACAAAATCGGCGAAAATCTGGCACAAGCCGGTGACAACGGACCGAGGCAGAATGTCCGACTCCTCTTCACGCACTGGCCGCCACGGTCTAGGGGACAAGCGCTGCATGATCAGAAGCTGCCGCAGCCGAGGGGATGCAGA